GGCTAAGTTACCGCAAGAGAGCCGAGCAGTTGATTGGACGCCTACACCTAGCTTGCCAATGGCCTTGTTATTTCAAGTCAAGCCAAGTCAAGAAATTGTTTCATGCACCCAGTAAAGTTGAATATGCAGCTGTAACACCCACGCTTTCAGCGATACGTCAAGTAATTCAAAAAATTGGATCACTAAACGTGTTAGAAATAAACCATCACAGCATAAATATGTTCATTAAATTTTTTGGACAACTGTGTTTTGTCCAGTATACATCAGGTAGGTGATAAGTGACGTACGTCACGCTGTTGTATAGGCAAATATGGATTTGCATTTCTGTCTGGTTGAGGAGGTTGACACACATTCAGACATTACACAATGGAAGGGGTGAGTTGTGTTGACAACTATTGCTGATGCTAGTCTTTTGCAAGAATATATCAAAGCAACCCAGCTTCGATGCATCGATGCATAGTGCCAAGGGTATAAACGGCCTGGTGATTAATCTAAAGTAGTAGCTCCTTACACCTGGGAAAGAATGACCCAATTATGCAAATCGGTGTGTTGTGAGCTTTCAAATGGTTGGTAGTAGCACAGCGTCCCTGATCAAATTGGAACGTACGCTTTCCGTACGTAAGTCTCGTGGCGTGTGAGGCTTTCGTTCCTACGGCAGCTGGTTACGAAACAAAGTATACACCTGGCGAATGAAAGCGCTTAACAACGAACAATGTATAATGATTTATGCCTGGTAAACTTGGAGTTGCTTGCTAAGTCCAGCAGGATGGTGGGGGAAAACTACAATCTTCAAACGATAGGATTTTTGTTTTATCATGCTTGATTCTACTTTTGCTTGGAAGTACTGTGTTATACGTGTTCGCTCAGTGTGAATTTTGCAGCATTACTTTGCTTTTGGTGCATTTTTTATGTGTGTGAACTTAGTGAATATTCTCCGGATACTGTCGGAGATCTCACTGGTTGGCCAAGTGCAGTCTGTGTTCACCATCTTGGATTGGTTCCACAGCAATCGAACAGGCGTCTGCCAGCCCGCCAGCTTGACCGACTGTGTTTGGATTCAGCATACCAGTGCAGATGTTGCAACCAGGGGCTTCCACAGATCTAACAGTCACAGTGGCAAGTATTAGTGGCACACGGAAATCTAAGCCCAAAGCTTCCGAAATAAACATTAATTGTGGCGTAGACAGCCGTGTAACTCTTGTGCGATTTGGAATAGAATGCAGAAACTGCCGAAAATACAATCATGCTAAATGTGCTCGCCTTAGTTTTAGCCAGATAAAATAGCTTAATATTACGATTGATTCACTGTGGTTCTGCACTGAGTGTACATCTTTTCCACTCGGCAGATATATAACTGTGTTGGCGCAGAAGTGCGATAGGCTGTCAAAGATAGTAAAGCAAACACCAGTGTTGTAAGCTGTCCCACATGAACCAGACAAATTATTTCCTCGAAGTCGATACGCAAGAGCAACTTTCAATTCAGCTCGGTGCAAGTGTAACGGTCCAGGTGTAGCTACCGCGACACTAGCGGCTGCTCACAAAGATGCACTTGATACATATTCTTCAACAGAATCACCTGACACACTAGAATGTTAAAAGCCCGACAACCTACGCGTCCTTTGCTGTTACCCATATGACGGAGGCACCTCCCATCGCAACCCCGTCCGCTGCCAAACGAGTTACTACTGTCACTACTACTACGGAGCTCAAGACTCCATCATTTGCCCAATCAAAGAAAGCAGACAATGGTCCCTCCAAAAAGGAGAACATGAAACACTACCATAATTCATTAATTAGTATATGCTGTAATGTGGCTGAATTCGATGCGAACTCCATAAAAGATAAGATACTAGCCGATAAAAAGTGTGGAACTCCCTGTGTGATCTAATAGGGTTTCAAACTAAACCAGTCAGTATGATGCGTCTCGTTCGTCACCCAAACTCCGTACGCTACGGTGAACCGCGGTTACTCCAGGTAACACTTCAGTCAGGTAATGGTGCAGTGACAGTTCTCTTGACGGCCACTCGCCTCCGTAAAACCACAGTCACTTTTCGAATGTTTCCAGATGTTCCTTGGAGCGAACGTCAGAAAGGCAAACAGAATCCGGATGACTTCCGTAAACAACTAAAAGCAAACTCTATCCTTGTTCTCGGTGTCCCCGACCTCTAGTCACTAAGCAAGCTAAAGGTCAACATGCATGACTGTGATGAACGGCGTTTTATTCTTGAAGTACTCGCACTCGAAATTTTATCGCTACTTCAACCTCAAGGTTACCACTATCAACTAACTACAAAGTGTGTGGTCCCCGAGTACTGAAAGTATCATTTCACTCAGAAATGGTGGCAGAACATCTGATCAAAATGTGACAAAAATGTGTAACATGCTGGCATCCGTAATACGTATAAATGCAATAGGCAGCGGGCCACATATAGACAATGTAACACTGAGCAAGGAACTTAGCAATACAATGCTGTCACCGGGTAGCTCAGAACGAAAACAAGCCAAAACACCGATAGTTGAAGGAGAACAAGATGGTCACTCTCCTGTTGGCGCTGAGAGCTCTACCCAACAACTTGAACTGGCCCTATGGCCTGCGTCATCAGTCCTACTTAAAAACGACCGGCAGTCGACCCCGCTAGGGTCCGCATAGACCCTCACCGGAAACCAACATACGCAAACAAGCTTCTGACCACCAATGTCTTAACCTGCTTGTATACCAATGCAAAGGGTCTTCTCAGTAAGCTAACCGGACTTCGTATTAGTCAGACCTCCATGCTTTGGGACCTAGTTATGGTCACCGAAACATGGCTGAACACGGAGATCACGGATGCTGAGATTGCACTCCCCGTCATGACTACCAAACCAAACGATCGACCTAGCAGGGGAGGGGGAGTGCTCCTGTATTATCGATCTGACCTGCATGTTGATCTCATTGAGGACCCAGAAAGGAACGCAGTCGATTCTCTTCGGTGTCGTAGGCACCTAAGACATAGTAATGTGTGTTTAATAGCAAAGGTTTACCGCCCTCCAATGTCCACCTTGGAAATGGAAAATGCCTAGCTTCTCCGATGAAAAGAGTCCTAACACGAACATACAGTCATGTTTTTCTGGTGGAGGACTTCAACCTGCAAGCGATCGGAGTTCCAACATCGCACAGCGAACAATTCAAGGCGACATTGTAATGAGGTGATCATCGATGTACCTGTGTACAACCATTTCACTTCTCCCACATGATTCCGAACGGGTGACACACCCTCCGTTCTGGACCTTGTGTTCTCTAACGAGGAACTAATGGACAACACATTGACCATAGATGTACCACCTGGCGGTGGCGATCAGGCGATTTTGCTCTTTGTTACATCCGTTACTCGGAGCACACCAGTGAGAACAACTTGAAACTTACGTTGTTACACATTACGATATACTGTCCAACTTCGTTCAATAAACCGACTTGTTCTCCCTAGCCAAGGAGCCGCCCGATGTCGCCTGGATGGTATTCCTCACCCAATTCACTGAGGTGGTGGCAAATGCGTCGGAAAGCAAGGTCCTTCGCCCGAAGCAATTGCATTGGTTCTTGAGGAACCGTACTAGAACATGCATGACTTCAAGGAATTTAGCCTGGCGCGCTTATAAAGTCTGTCCAAGTAATCAGACCTCGGAGGCTTACACAAATCAAGAAACCACTGCGTCAAGTTGATCGGCGAAGATACACTCCAGAACCAATAGAACTTAGCGGCAAAATTCATTGCAAATCTTAAGTTGCAGTATAGACACTTAAACAAGCTCCGCAGTGTGCGGGGCGGAATCACGGTTTTATATGTAAAAGATGGTCTTGTGTAAACCGCACAAGATGCAGTCCAAGTACTTCGGCAACACTTCATCCTTAATTTCCGGAGTGAATCATCAATTCCTCCGCGTTTTACACAGCCTCCATCGATACCAGGGTTAAACCACGGATCGTTCACGTCAGCAAATTTGATGAAAACGCTAACGTCATTGCGCGTGAACAGCTCAGCTGGCGTGGACTACATCATAATGAATTTCTTGAAGACAGCGGCCATGAACCTTGCCAAACCATTAGCTCGGTTCTTTCAAGGTTGTCCCTAAGTAATGCAGGTACCGGCAATGTGGAAACATAGACTAATCACTCCTAGTTACAAAACTGGCAATCGCTCGAAGCCATCGAACTACCGTCTAATCACTCCCCTCCCAGGTTTATCCAATTAATGGAACGTATAATTGCAAAGGCACTCATGGGATATCTTGAGAGCAACAACATCCTAGTGTAACAGCAACATGGATTCCGCCGAAATAGATCCTTAACTACAAACTTCCTGTTAGCCCGAGCATGCTGGACAGAGTTAGCCGATGCCAAATTTGGAGTCGACGTTGTCCAACTGGACTTCTCGAAAGCGTTCGATCATTTGACCACCGCATTCTCCTTCACAAGTTTCGAAGCTATGGAATCGGTGACACTATACCAGGTTGGATCGGCAAATTCCTACCTCAAGGTCAGCTGAATATGAGAGTCCACAGCTCCATTTCCGAACCAACTGACATCCAGTGTGGCGTGCCACATGAATCGGTACTAGGGCCAGATTTATTCCTCACATTCATTATCGATCTTGCCAGTGTACTGCAGTCGAAGTTCTTACTATTTTCAGATGATGAATTGAAGGTAAGGTGGATTTAGAACTAACGCGATGGGATTTGCTTTTCCAACATTCGTTGTATTTAGCCGAAATGTAAAACACAATGCAATCCAGAGTAATGTTCCAAAAAGTAATCCAAGGCAAAGCGTTGCACTATGTGACTCACGCATAATATTCAAAATAACATATCTCTAAGAGGAGTATCAGTGGTCAAGCCAAGCTGCTGAGTGTTTTACCACACAAAAATTTGATAAAGCAGGTAAGCAACCTAATCCATTGATTTTAATTACACTTTGTTACTCAAACAACGTCCGAATTGAGAATATTGTTCACCACTCTCCACTTCAGAAAATGTTAGCCAGCTGCGTGTTAGATAATTCGAAGCAATCAACTGGCACTCCAGTGGTCAGCTTGGAACATGGAAAACGCACACAACCTCATGTGGTTAAATGCAATGAGCGCGATTCGGATGAGGACACTGAGTCAAAAGTACCTGTTGAAGAGGATCACATAGTGGCAGAACACAAAAATCCGAAACCCATTTGTATTGCTTGCGAGCAAGCTGCACTCAAGGTAACAATACTTGACTATCTTGGTCTACTGACAATTGAAATTTCAATATGTATTCAATGCAATCATTTTGAGCTGTGCGGCATCATTACGGGTAATTAACTTGCTCCGTGCTGACATTGGTTGCGTACGCAATGGAACAATGGGACAAAGGTTAGCTAAGGCAAATTTTGCAAATCTTAACCATTTCCGTGGGATGAGGACAATTGAGTATTTACATTTCATTTAGTAATTAGATGGGTTTTGGAGGACTGAAAATGGTCAGGCTTGAGTAGCGGAGAGTTTTGCGTGATGGAAGTGAAAATGAATAAAAGCACTAGGTAGATTTTGGAAACGCACTTTTTCTTTGCGTTATGTCACTCCCTGGCACAAAAATTTCATAAAAGTTAATGCGATTTGGACAACCCTCACCAGGTTGTTATTGATATTTTTGGCTACACCCCTTCAACTTTTGTACAGGATACATCGTTTGTCCATGCGATCAAATGCCCTATAATAGTCCGTGTATAGACATCAACTCCTTGTCTGGCATTTGCTGACTTCGTCCAGCTGGCTCGGGCAAGGAACAAGTTGCTGTGCAACATAGATTTCATCAGAATACTTGAGGCTTTGTTGCTAAGCTATTATTGATTTCAGGGTATACCAGCAGTGCTTCTGTGATTATTCCATTCATAAATTTGGAGGTCGCTTGGAGGAGAGTTAATGAACGGCAGATCACATTCGCCGCGCATTTTACACTCTTGAAATTAGAGGTAAGGTTTGCCACCTTCCACATGTTGGAAACCTGTTAGTCATAAAGACTTTGTTAAAAGAACCGTGTCAACGGTGTAGGTCGAATTTATTTAATGACTTCTGTCTGAGGTGATGCATATTTTGTTTCATCCTGTTTGTGCTGTGAGCTGTGTCAAATACAATTAAGGTGATGATTTATTTCGGAAACGTCGGCCAATTTGTAAGTGGTAATTCGCTTAGAAACGATGACTTAACGCGTTTCCAACAGGATCAACAAAGTAAGACCGCACTTGGTGTACGGTACTGTTGACAATTAATTACAAACAACAAGATTACAATGCCTTAATAATCTGTGCTTCCGGTGCAGACGCTTCAACAAAGGCAAAAATAGCTAACAAGTATGGCTTTAAGACGTACGTTGCAATGAAGTCATCTCCGTGGATTGTGACTTAAAAGGGGCTAACGAAAACCATTCAGATGAAGCGAGGCTATCATAAACCGTTGGTGTGAGAATCCATATTTACGCCTAATGCTGACGCTGTGTGCCAAATGTACACAAGGGGAACAAAACGATTGGCCAATCAAACCAAATGGTTTCAAGTTGTGTTCTTCATTGACAACAACTGCAATGTAATAAGTTCACGGGTGGTGAACAGAGGTGAGTACAGTGGATAGCTTGAAACCTTTTAAGTGCATGAATAACACATCGGGCATTACTATGGGAAACAGTAGTGGTTGGTTCCGAAGTAAGCAAAGTGGGTGAAACGTGAGTGAAGTTAGGTCAGCCACATTCTCAAAGTGCAAAATAAACGTAATTAATCCAACATCACTAGCCAATGGTGCAGTGAGGCACAAAAACGGAGGTTTTGGGACAAGGATAAATTGGGTACACAGTAGAGGGTATCAAAACCAGGGGATCAATGAAAGGGATCAGTGTGTCACAGGATAGGGCATTCTGGATTTTCACACTGTGTCCAAAGCGCGTCATGCCTAATGAGCGCCAGACAATTTCTTCAGGTAGAATTGAGATCCCGCGCAGCACTCTCTGGCGCTTGTTCACATGCCTGTTTATCACCTATTCACAACGGGAGCCATATGGTCCCTCTGGGGCCATGGAGAATACCCAAGGACCCTGGAGTCATAAAACAGTTTAGGGGGTTATCAAAGCCCACGCCGAGAAATGTGGGTTGTGAAAACACAAGTACCAAAAATCAATTAAAAATTTCTCTGAGTTTTTGTCAACGCACTAATCTACTCTGCTAACTAACGGTCACTAACATGACTAACCCGAAAAAGTAGATGTTTACGAAGGTGCGAAAACCAGCCCCAGAAAATTTTCGGTTGCGGAGCTGACACATTGAACCAACTGAGCTTTACTCAGGACACTGTTGCGTCTATTGTGCAAGCTGTAGTGAACCTAGTGAAATCTCGTTAGAACACTGCGACATTTAACGCGCAAGCCAGGGGATGTTAACTGAATTTTCCTCAGGACGATAATATTTTGTGACAATCCATGTGCCGGTCAATCGTACCGCTGCTGGACCCAGTGCAGTGGCACTAGGTTGCGCGGTATTCGTCTCAAGTCTCAGCAGGCGTTTACGTCTCGCGGCTAGATCTTTTTAACCCGCAACGTTCCGACTTCGGGTGGACACTCGGCGTGCGTAGCGTAACGTCTCTGAGGAAATTTGCTTCATTTTGACTAAGAATCGAAGCAGCTAGGACGCGTTATAATACTTCCTCAACATCCAGTTCAGCTGAGGGTTTCATTTCAGCGATGAGTTTTCTCAACTTTCATAGTACCTGTGGTCATCCAATTTCTTTGGTGAATACATCTAACATAACGTGTACATCAAGGCATTTTTCATAATACTCCAACTAATCAAATGCCTTACCAAGTGGAATTGGACAATTTGTTTGACAATAGCCGATGTGCACTACTAAATTCGCTGTTGGCTCTTCCATGAAAGTTTCTTGAACTGACCAGCATTTTCTTCCGTGTTGCTCCATTCTCTCCCACGTTTTACCTGTTTTCAACATTTACTAAAATTTTATTCTAATGTATGTGTTTCCAGTAGGCAGTTGCATATTCTTAGTAACATTTGTGTTCAGTTTTGGGTGTAGTTAAGAGATTTTCCTCCATCATTTCAGCTATTCACGGTATTTTCCAAATTACCCAAGGAAACTGACTTGGGTTATTACATTGTAACATCGTAGCACATAACAGATATCAAAAGTATGCTTATCATATGCCGTAAATTTTATAATTATTTGGGTTACCAACCATTTACATTTCCTGCTTGTTTCGTCTTGTCCAGTGCCGTTAACTGTGTAAAAAAGCTAAGTAGTAAACTGGCCTTACATATTAAGAATTTACAATGACGTAATTCAGAAAGGAACTCATCGAGAAAGAGTAGGTGTCGGCAATACTCCGTGGATTAATTATGATGTGGTTTTGTCTCATCATCTCAAAAGCCCAGTCTACTAATAGGTTTCATTTGAACATACACCATTTTGACTGAAAGTAGGAAACCAAGTGAACTGGAATATAATATAAAAATGCTTGATAAGCACGAAACCGGAACGTTTGTAGAATTTACGGAAATCTGGAGGATATTATCGAAAACAGACTAAAAGTTAAGACAATAGTTTCTAAATGATCAGAAAAGCAGAAAAGACTTATGCTGTCTTACAACATCAGAAAGCAGATTAACAATACTGCAGCCCACAAAATGTTTGGGGGAAATATTATCCTGCCTTTGGTACTTGTAGCGTCCACCGTGAACGTTGAATAACGAGTAGCCAAAGATCCCGAAATCAAAAAAGTCGGATCACAAATACTACGATACTACTAAAACATATACAGTTGCTAATTGGGACAAACTTCAATTGTTCAGTATCCCGGTGTAAGCAAGTTGACAACAAGGTGTCAGTAAACAATAGCAGAGAACGAGTTGTCTACGCCGGACCATCAAAGGAACAAGTCACCACATCTGAGTGCTCCGAGTATTAAGAATAATGGCGTTGACCAATCAAGGGATGGTACAATCACAGGGTGAGAGTTTAATGACATGCATAAACATGGTGTTTGGACGAGCGACCAGTGAACGGGGGAGGGGGTTCGACACATGCTCCGGGCTGAACGTGTCATGTTCGGCGAAGAGTAGGGTTGGAGATCCAAGGTCGTCGGTAGCCGCACACGCACGGAAGCAGTGCCGTGGATTAGCATGCACACACAGACACACCTACAACGCTAACAATGGGAATGTAAGGAGGCGCACGTGAACGCTGGTCGATATCCATCGACGATCGGCCAAGGTCTGTAGACTAGACCATGAAGCGAAGAGTAGAAGAAATTCATGGGTAGATAAGCGCGTTACAGTACCAATAATACCCTCTGACCTGATGCATATAAATCCACATGAAGTAGTTCAAACCACACCGCTTAGCAACGCAACTACCTCGAGTTGATTAGCTGAGATGGAACATGATATAGAAAGCACCTCACTAACTTTAATACAGTCCAGCATAGTTTCCATAAAATTAGATGTGATAAAACAATTGTTTACCCTTAGTAACTTAAGAAGCACAATGAGAAAATGTAGCTCAAGGAATACATGCAATTCTTATTGTCTCTTCTGTGCCGCTAAAGATGACTGGTAATTTTATATCACAATTTTTGGTTAAATATACACATACAAATAAACGATAGAAAATGCGGGTCTTTCCTCAACAATCGGGGTAGCTTGTGTTTGGCCGATAAATGCTGTTGCCACAAGGTACTGGCTTACTCCGGTCCATGCCAATAAGGTCGGTAAAACGGAGGATCCGGGATGTGTTTTTGCGAAGCACGGTCCTAATCGCATTATTGACCTCAATTCAGTGACCCGACGTCAATAAGTGTCTGCAGATCGAAGGCGTCGGCGGCGTGCACACACATGTTGGCTGATTTGGGCTTGCTTGCTGAATAATCCCGCATTAAACCTGTTATATTACATACACCATTATTCGGGAACTCAGTGTTTTATTGGATCTGGCTCTGTGAATAGCTCCAATGTTAAGTCGAAGATATCTTATGTTCTGTTCAACAAAAATGCAGATCAAACAGCTAGTTACACGTTTTAACTCCTCGCATGTATATTTGGTGATTTCCTGCGAAGTCAATCCACAGAACTCTCTTCTATATTTACTTGTTCTCAGCCGCAGGGAGAACGGACTGGTCAGAAGGGTCTGTCTGACGAAAAACCATGTGGTCGGGGCAGTATCTGCTTTTT